TGATTTTAATTATATTATATAGCCAAGTATAGATAAGAGCAATAACACAAATGACAACTTTAAAAAGCTACCTCTACATAGTTGGATAACAAAACAAAACTTCATTGACACCTTTAGAGAGCTATATCTTTGCAAAAGAGAATTTTCATAGAGCAATAGCAAGGATAGTACAAGAATAGACCAAATTTAGATCTCAGATAGTTTAACTTTTGGCCTTAAAGATGCATTAATTGAAAAAATAAAGCTAGAAACAGGTAGTGACTACAACCTAGTAGTAGCAGAAATACTTTTAAACTATCTAGAGTTTAAAGATAAGTTGGCGCAAGTCAAAAGAAAAAGTATAAAGAGAACAATTTTCTTGTGTGACAAAGTAACAGAGGAAAATTGAAATGATTACCAAAACAAGCTACAGAGTTTGCTCAAAAAGAAGCTGAATAAGAAGCTATAGACAAGAGAACAGCCTGAAAAAAGCAGTGAAGAATCTATAGATATTATAGATTTAAACAAGAAATAGGATATTATAAACAACAGCATTAAACAAGTAGCAGAAGATAAAATTCCTCACAAGAAAGTGCTAAACTCAGGTTACAATAAAGCTCTAAAAAAAATCTATTCAGAATTGCAAACTACAATAAACTTGAAAAGAAAACTAGTTAAATAATATAAAAGAAAAAAGGGAACTAGTAGAACTGAAGAAAGATAATTAGAAATCGAGAAAGAAGTGAGGAAGATAAATGAAAAAACAGAGCCAAGTATAGTAATACTAGGAACTCTGTGGAGTGAACAACTATAAGAAGAGCTTACTAGATAGTAATTAGTACTTAAAAGCAAACTAGTAGCAGAGAACAGTTTAGTAAGCAAATTAGAAATAAGAGAACATGTAGACTGCAAATGCAAAATAATAAGAGATAACCAAAGAAGAATGATAAATAGTCTGCTAGAAAAACCTTTCAAGAAAGTAATAATCGATAGACTACTTTTAGATAAGAAAAGAGTTAAAGAGCTCTATAATGAACCTAAAAAAGTCTTTCAGAGAACAGCTGAGCATTTTAAAAAGCAGTTCAAAAAAAGAAACTTCAAACAAGAAGAATTCTCACATAGTTGGAAAGAAGTATTCAAACTAATAATAAGAATTAATAAAAGCTACTACAAAGATTTGAGCAGTAGAGTAACTGAAAAAGAATAAAAACAAGTACAGCACCTGGCTTATCAGGAATTAGATATATATTGATTAAACGAGCAAGTGCAGAAACACAAGTAACATTTAGAAATTTTGCTAGTGAATACCTAAAAGCAGGAAGAATTCTACTAAAGTAAAAAATTAGACAGACTTACCCAATACCTAAAGATTTAGACTAGTAGTATAACCTAAGCAATATAAGGCCAATAGTACTTTTAGAAACTTTTAGAAAGTGTGTAACTAAAGTTTATACAACTAGGCTAAAAAGAATAATAAGAGAGAACAATATACTAGAAGAGTCAAACTTTACGAGGCTAATAAGAAGCTTAACAGAAAGCCTAATTCATATCTTGAGCATGATAATAGAAGAAGTGAGAAAAAAGACAAAGAGCTCTAGATTATACTATAAGATATAAAAAAAGCATTTGACTTTGTAAGTCTGGACTCTTTAAAACTAGCATTGCAAAAAATAAAGGTACTAGCAATAGAGCAGGATTTTATACTAGATTTGTTTGACAAATGATAAACTAAAATAATTACTGTACTAGGTCTTACAGAATCAATAAAAGCAGAAGACAGAATAGAACAAGAAGAAGTAATTTCATTATTAATTTAGAAAATTTTCTACGATCCTCTGCTAACAAAAATCAAGAGAAATTCTTAACTCAGATATGAAATAAAAGTCTCCTGAAGAGAAAACTTTGAAAAAAATAAAATAAAAACCCAAAGAATAAGACAAGCTGTAGTTGCCTTTGCAGATAATATCACATGAATAGCAAGCTTCAAAGAACAGCTCGAAAAAATTATTCAAATTGCAGAAGAATTCTTTAAGATTAATGATATTCAGATAAACCTATTCAAATCTAAACTTATTGCAATAAATTTTAAAGTACAGAAAGATGAATGCAAAATTACAGTAGACAGACAAGAGGTCTATGCAACTAAAAAAAAAGAAGCAGTTAGATTTCTAAGAATTTGAATAGGACAAAAAGTTAGCAAAAAACAGATTATGTCAAAAACTAAGCAAATAGTAGGACTTTTTGCTAATACAATTAGAAAAAAGATAGTCTCAACAAGCCAAGTATTGTATATAAATAATGTATACCTTATACTGAAGCTAGAATATATGCTACAGAATATCTTTTGACTAAAGATGAATGTGAAAAGATTCAGCAACCATATGTGATGATAGCTAAAAACAAACTAGACTTAAAGAGGATACTTCCAAACTTTGTAATATCTCATATTGGGATCTTTAATATATACATATTATGGAATACACTAAAAACTAAGCAAATATTAAGTCTTATGAATAGACTAAATAAGAATTGTGAAGTTAAGAGTATTACAGAGATCAGAATAAAGCAAGGACAACAAATTACTCATTGTCTAAATAGTATCTGAGCTAAAAAGCTAAAAGATAATAAGAAGAAACTACTCAAGAATAATCTAGCAGATCTAATTATTTAAGATAACTTAAATATAGGACTAGAAATAGTAACTAGTCAAGTAAACTGAGTAGTTGAATCAAGTGGGATACTAATTAAAAGTCTAATGAAAACAGAAACATTTATCAAAGCAGAAAAAGCACTTAGTAATCTCAATATATGAGTATTGGAGCAGATCCTTAATATAGAAGACTCATATCTACTAATATGGCAATAGCTAAAAATTTCTAAAAAGAGATTCCAAAAAGGCAAAAAATTGAATTGGTATAAAGAATTAGAAGAGAAAGTGTTAAATAGCAAAGAGAGTAAAGAAGTTAAAGATAAGTTCAAAACAGGTATGAAAAATACTCTAAGTATACAAAATTTGCTTGAAGAAGTTTCTCAGGACAAAAAAAAATGTGAATAGATTGTCTATGAGAATATGCAAAGCAAAAGCAGAAAGATAAGAAGAGTGCAAAAGAAAAAAAGAGAAGTTTCCTAATAGAGCATTAGGAAAACAAAGAAAATATAGAAATGTGAGAAAAAATAGAGAAGTGTAAGAGTTGCTTAGATAACAAAAAGAAAGCATATAAAGAGTGCAAAGGCTAGTAGCTAAAGAAGAAGATTTTAGAAGTAATTCTGAAGTTTAAATTTTGCTTTTTTAATTTCTATATTATTGAGTTCAAAAAATTTATTTGAAATATTTATGATAATTGCAATGAATTTTTAGAATCTGCAATCTATGTAATATTATTTGTATAGACTAGTGCTAAAACCTAGATTTTTTCATCTCTTGTAATATTTCTGCTTATATCTGATAGCTATTTTAGGTATAGTCAGACCTCTATTAATTACCAAGTTGGTTATACCTTAATTTGGTAATTATATAAAGATATGACTATAAACAAAATACTAAGTTATAATCACATGATTACTGACTAATTAAAATTATAATATTTGTATATATTAAAATTTACTATTAAAATTCTAAAATCTTCAATAGTAAATATCTTTTGATCTACTAAACCAATTTGAATGAAACAACTACTAAAATGTTTATTTCAATGAACTGATTCTAACAAATCCAAAATCATTAAAATCTAATTACAGAATCTTGAGATTATTAATAATTTGTATTACTATAGATATTTAATCTTTAAGTATCTAAAGTGATACAAATCATTAATGATCTTGGGATTCTGTAATTAGGTTATATATATAATTTGTGCTTGATATGTAGAATAGGATTATTTATTGGGTTTCTTAAAATTATATTAATGTAGGCTAGCTAGCCTAAATTGAGGATCATATTAAAATCTTATACAGGATCCAAAAAATCACACATATTTTATATGTGTTATTTATGTGTAATCTTGCACAGATCCTACATATGCCTATCACTACTCACTACCTTAAATATATAACAAAATTCTCTTTAAATACTCTAATTCTACTAAATATCTTATCCTTAGAATTTCAAAACCATCTTTCACTTCTTCAATTTCTAAAACTAGAGATTAAAAATATTAAAACTCTTATTAAAAAAGAATTCTACAACCAAATCTTTTCAGAAATCAAATCTAAATTTAAAGAAAGAAATCTTATCTTCATTTAAAATCCAAAACTCTTCTACAAAAAGATTCTAGAAACCTAAAATTAATAACTTGGTTAACAAGCTACACTCATATAATTCTCTTCTAACTAACTCAACAGAAGTAAAATAAGCACTTTACTAATACTTTTAGAAATATTTTCAAGAACTTCTCTCATTTCTACTAATCACAAAATCAGAATTTTATAACGTATACAAACCAAATACAAAAATAAAAAATATTTTCAAAATCTATTAGATAATATTACTCTCATATTTCTATTTCGATTATCACGAAAGTAAAATTTGAATAAAAAAAAATACATTCTGTCTGACAGTAATAAGTAATTTATCAAAAGTATTCAACCTTTTATATTATGTGAAAGTACTTTATATTAAATACAAGGCTATTAGCTTACCTGCATTTTTTTATATTAAGTATAATCGTTGTAAATTTATTTACTGAAGATATTAATAAATTTTTATAATAGTAAAAAATAATTTATTTGAAGTTATAGGTATTATTATATATAATTAAGATATAAAAAAAACCTTAAATAAGGAAAAAAATCTTAAAATATATAATAATACCAAATAATAACAAAAAAATATATAAAACAAATAAGAAACATATATAATAAATATAAAAAATTTTAACTATAATTTTTCTTTAAATTTCAATAAAACCAAACAACTCTATCTCTACTGCACTTCTAAATTAAAATTTTCATATTTTTTTTTAGAATTTGTTATTTCTATAAAGGCTTTAAAAAATAAATTCAGTAATTATGAAAAAATATGTTCAAATAGTTTCATGGTTTTTGTATTCATATTCTTCGTAGTAGTTTTCTACCATCAAGTTAGAATCATTCTCATTTACATACTTCCCGCGCCCTATCAACTCTAGGTCTATTTTCCCTTCATATATCTTAAATTTATTAAAATTATAATTTTTTTTAGCAGGTGTAAGCTTTATTTTCCACATAGTGTAAGGACTAAGCATTAGTTCTCCTTCCTTAATTTTCTTATATGTATTATTAAACATAACCGGCTCTCCTTTATCATTTTTTTCAAAACCATATCCGATAGGTTGTTTATCACTTCTTATTACATAAAACTTATCGCCATATCTATAATAAGAATTGCCTAAATGAATCATATTAACATTAAAATGTTTAAGCTCATTATCAATTTCATTTTGCAATTTATCTATCAATCTGAATCTGTTATCTATCGATCTGAATCTGATACCTATCTCATTAAACTTGACTGCACTTTTATTAGAATCGATCTTTGTTATATCTGCTTTTATAGTTACTTCTTCTCCAATTAGCAGTTTTGATATTTCATGGCTATATTTGTTATTTTCCCATACAAAAAATGGTTCAGTGGATATTTTTTCACTATGAAATTCACCATATTTTAAATAATTATCAATATCTTTAATAATATAAACGTCGCCTTCTTGAACTTTTGAATGAATATTTTTTATTTGCGATTCAATATAATTAATACTTTTATCAATATCAATGTCATAATGATAATCATCTGGTGAAATTAATATGTCTGAATACACATTTGCAAATGGAAATACCCATTGCTTGAATGCATTTGTAGCTCTTTTTAAATGCCTTAATATAATGTTGAACCTTATCTCTCGTTTTAGTTTATTAACAGCATTGTCTAATTTTTCATCGGCTATTTTATCAGCTATTGAAGAACCAATATGCGCTATATAGACAAGCTTTGCTTGATCATAATAGTCTTGTATACGATCATATATATTAATAAGAGTAGTCAATCCTTCATCTAACATTTCCATATAACGTGTTACATCTTCTTGTATCTTAAATCCTTTAGATATTTGCCGAATTTCATGTTTTATATCTTTTAATGAAGATTGCACTTTCCATTTGGTCACATCAAGAAAAACATGTGATCTTTTATTTATTTTACTTTCAATATTATTAATATCATCCTGCATCCTTTTGATCATAGGAACAATAGCGTTATTAATATTTTCTTCATACCGTTTTAATTTTTTAATATCATTTTCTGCTTGTTTTATCGAGTTACTTATCGCATCAATTTCTTCTTTGTCTTTTTGATATTTGTTATACAATTCAATTGCCATTTCTGTAGTATTAATTGCAATATTAAGTTTGTGTACTACTTCTAATTCAATAGTTGAGTCTTCATTATTCTCCTTTTCTAATTCTTCTAACTTTTTCTGTGTTGTTTCTAATTCAACTTTTATTTCTTTGATTATTTTTGTTGAATTAATATTACTTAATGATTTCTGAATTTTAATTAAACTCCCTTTTATATTTGACAAATATGGATATTTATCACATTCTTGAGATAATTCTTTTATTTGTTGCTCTGCAATTTTTATTTCTTTTTTTTTAATTTCTTCATCTTCGATCATTTTTTCCATTCTGTTTAACGAATCTTTTATATCTGAAGAAATTTCAAAATTTGAATTCCGATTATTTTCTGAAATGAATGCTTCAGCTATATTAACTCCTCCTTTGATTACATCACCAGCCACTCCAATAGGGCCACCAGCAATACTTATTGTTTGACCTACAATTTTTAAAATTCCTAATGTTTGTCTTAATACTAATTTATTCTTTAATTCATTCTGCTTTTCTTCTAAAGTATGTTTATTTTCTTCGACATTTTCTATTAATTCCTTGGTTTCATTAATTAATATTTTGATTTTTTCATCTATTTTATGGATAATATTATCCATTTCATGTTTAATTTGTTTACTAGCAATATTATATGCCTCTTCAACTTTTATTTTAATCTCCTTTTTAAATTCTTCTACTCTACGTTGTGTTTCTTCGTTTTTCAATAATTCAATATCTTTTTTTATCATTTTAAAATATCCATTTATATTAACAATCAAATTAGATTCTAATTGAAATTTGAGAGTGCAAATCTTACTAAGAGTACATGTATATAGATAGCTAAGTGCCATTTTAATTTCTTTATTTTCAAGATTTTCTGCATATTGTTCAATACGCTTAATAAAAAATTGGTAAAAAGAAATAAATTCAATATCACTAATACTTTTTAGTTTAAATTGTTTTTCTAAACTTTGAAACTTCTCAACTAGTTTTAGGGTCACGTCAACTGAATTGTAAGTAAGTTTAAACCTGAAATAATTATTTAATTGATCATCGTCTAACTGATCGAAAATTTTATCTACTTGAAGACTATCTTCTTCTTTATTTCTCAAAAGTTTAAAAACTTCAATTTGACAAGAAATTGCAGCTATATGTAATGGCTTCCAATCATTTTTATTTTTAAAATTAATATTTGCGCCATGATCTAGTAAAAATTCAACAATCTCCCTATGTCCATTCCACGCAGCTTCATGCAATGCTGTTTCGCTATTCTCATTAATCATATTAACTAAACTATCATTTTTTTCTATTAAATATTTTACTATTTCTTTATGACCTTCTAATGCAGCCCAGTGTAGTGGCGTACTACCATTGATGTCGAAATTGTTTTCTCCATTTTCTAACAACAATTTAATAATTTGAATGTCCTCTTTTCCTGCAGTATGAGGTAATCTTAAATTAATATCAGTTTCTTTTTCTAATAGTAACTTAACAACATTTACATAATTTTTTTTTGCAGCAAAATAAATATGATTAAAATATTGCTCATTAAAATCTTTGTCAGCACTAGCCTCTGCTTTTAGTAAATATTTGACAGCCTCCACGTGCTTATTCTCTGCAGCCAAATCTAATGCTGTTTTACTATCCTTATCTGTAGTATTAATTTTACATTTTTGTTCTAGCAAAGTTTTAATCACTTCTACATGCCCTGCAGTAGCAGCAAAGTGTAATAATGTCCAATTATTATTACTAACAGCATTAATATTGGCATTTTTTTCAAGCAAAATCTTAATGATGTTTTGATGACCATAAGATGCAGCCTCGTGTAAAGCTGTTTTACCATTCTTATCAACATGATTAATATCAGCTCCATGATTTATCAAAATATTAATAACCTCATCATGACCCGCTTTTGCTGCATAAAATAATGATGTACAGCGATCATTATCAGGAGTATCAACTTGGGCTTTGTATTTTAGCAAAGTCTCAGCAATAGATGTATAACCCTTTTTTGCAGCCCAGTGCAAAGCTGTTTTACCATTTCCATTTTTACTATTAACTTCAGCTTTATGTTTTTTTATCAATAACTTAAAATCACTATTAATATTTGGATCAAAATATTATTTAGAAATTCTAATTTAACAGATACTGTAAAGATGCAAATCAAAACTCACTTCCTAGTTAGTATAATCAGTTAAAATATTATTTAGCAATGATTAATTTTTAATTTAAAAGTTAATAAATGAATAAACGTAATCGAACTTACTCCCTTGATAGTTAATGTAATCAATTAAAATATTATTTAGCAATTGATATTTAAATTTTTAATTTAAAAGTTAATAAATAAATAAATAAATATAATCGAACTTACAATCTAGTTAATGCAATCGATTAAAATATTATTTAACAATGATTGATATTTAAATTTTAATTTAAAAGTTAACAAATGAATAAACATAATCGAACTTACATCCTAATAGTTAATGTAATTAATAAAAATATTATTTAGCAATGATTAATATTAAATTTTAATTTAAAGTTAATAAATAAATAAACATAATCGAACTTACTCCCTTGATAATTAATGTGATAAAAAATATTATTTAGCAATGATAGATTTAAATTTTAATTTAAAAGTTAATAAATAAATAAATAAATATAATCGAACTTACATCCTAATAGTTAATGTAATTGATAATAATATTATTTAGCAATGATTGATATTTAAATTTTAATTTACATAATTGAACTTACAATCTAGTTAATATAATTGATAAAAATATTATTTATTTAACAATGATTGATATTTAAATTTTAATTTAAAAGTTAATAAATGAATAAACATAATCGAACTTACATCCTAATAGTTAA